TACAGAGTAAGCTCCAGGACAGCCAGGCCTACACAGAAAAACCCTGTCTCAAAAAAACCAAACCAATTCAAAAAACAAAAACAAAAGAAAAGCCTGTTACCTAACTTAGATCACCAAGGCTTACACCTGTATTTCCTAAGGGTTTCTAGTTCTGGCTCTTGTAGAAGACTAAGACTGAACTTGATCTGGTTTTGGTTTCACGACAGACTCTCACTCTATTGCCCAGGATGACCTGATACTTAAATCCTGCCTCACTCCCAGGTGCTGGGATTACAGGTATGTTCCTTATTGACTTATCTCAGCTGTACTGTTCCTTTTACTGAAAAGACCGTCCTTCCTCCCAACTGTATTCTTTACTTAATAAAAAAAATTGAAAAACGGATCTATTTCATATGCTACTCACAATAACTGAAACTTAACTGAAAATAATCTAAGCAATGACTGAAAAACATCTTACTTTCTCATATATATTCTTCCTTTCACTGCTTATTAAAATACTATACATTTTTCTATAGCACTTGTTTTTTGTTTTTTTTTTTTAATTTATACAGTATCCTGCTTGTAGGCCAGAAGAGGGCACCCGATCTCATTACAGATGGTTGTGAGCCACCACATGGTTGCTGGGAATTGAACTCAGGACCTCTAGGAAGAGCAGACAGTGCTCTTAACCGCAGAGCCATCTCTCCAGCCCAGCCTAGCCTTTAACGGCTGAGCCATCTCTCCAGCCCTCTACAGCACTTCTTGCCTTGCCTCACTTGAAGTCACTATCTAAAGGTCTAGAAAAGACAGCAGGTATGAAGGGCACATGGTCAAGCGCAGTGCTCAGGAGCCTGGGATACACAGTGGGACCCTGTCTCAAAATAAGGATTTAGGGGAGAAAACACACATTGGTTGAAATAAAGTCACAGCACAAGTTAGAATGAACAAAGAATAAACCAATAAAAAATTACCAACGAAAATCTAAGGGGAAGTGAGTAATAAATTCTAACATATTTTTCAATAGTTGTACTTACTCTCAAAATACATTAAAATCAAAGAAAAAAAGTAAATTACTAATTTAATTATACCACTGACAACTGATGTTACATACCTAGGAGATGTGTCCAAATGTTGCCTGTCTCTGTGTGTATTCTGAAAATGCTCTTAAAACAGGCCCGGAAAGAAGGCATAGGAGGTCGGTGTCCATGGAGAAGGAAATCATTATCCTTAAGCCAATCTGGTAGCACATCATGAGGGATTACTCGCCATCGACCTTCCCAAACCTAGTTATTAAGAATGTTATCAAACACTTTGCTGTCACACAAATTTTAGTTGTCATTTAGTAACACCGTTCCCAAACAACTTTTACCATAATCTTATAATGGATAAAAGACTGATAAAAAATAAATTTCTAGATGGTATAGTCTGTTAGGAACAGGAGATCATAAACAAATACACCAAATTATATCCTAAAAGGCCTTGGTTTTAGTCCAGCTTAAAAAAAAATTGAGGAATTCAAAGTCCCAGCTACACAGAACTTCATTCATCAACAACAGATTTTACCTCAGAAAAATCAGTTATTAAATATGACCATTTCATACTTAACATTCTTGTTACTACAGAAAAATATCACACTTTCATGTCTTTTTCTAAAAAAATCTCCCCTCTGCTTTCTGCTACAAGAAAACTGAGGTGTTAAATGGAAGAAGCACAGGGTAGGAAATGTGGGGTCTACTGTTAACTAGTGAGTATTAATCAATTACAAAAACCCAAAGGCTTAATCTTGCCTATGAGAGAAACAGTACTTCACCTGATGAATTCAGAAGACCAAACAATTGACATACAGACCACCTCACATGTGTCTACACTGCTAGCATTCCCCCTAGGCTGGATGCAATTCCAACTGTGCAGAAGCGATCCGTTCACCAGGAAGATCCCAATGAAAGGTGCTTCCTTACCAGACCTTTTCTCCTTCCTTTTCCTGTTGTCCCTCCCCAGGAGGAGGGGAAAGGGGGTTAGGATCTTGATGCTGCCTCCTAAGAAAGTCTGTTCACTACTGTACCCTATTTATTTTAGCCCCCATATCTCGTTTAAGCCTCACACCATGATGATCAACTTCACCCAGGATCCAGCTGCTGGCGAACCTGACTGCATGATCTTGCTCCATTTGAGTGAGTTTTTGCATGGTTTTACTAGCATGTGGAAGAGTTGAAAACTTCAGGCTAGAAAAGGCGCTGAATGTTGTAGACAAAACTTAATGGGTTATCCTTGTGGGAACTTGAAGAAATGCAGAACAATGGAGGCTTGGCTCATGAGCTCTCAGTAGGAGTAAGGGTTCTACCAAGAACTTGCATAGGGGCTATTAATAGAATACTGGCTTCATTCTGCTCAGGTCCTGAGAACTTAAGTGAAGTTGATTTCCTTGTAATAATAAACTATAACCTAAAATTACAGGCTAAAATAAAATCTTTCTTCCTTAGGTTGCTTTCTGTCAGGGTATTAATGACAGCAACATGAAACATATTACCCTAGACACTTGCTCATCTGACTAAAAAGCATACCAGTCTCTCTCTTTTTTTTTTCAACAAGTAACTTTAACTCTAGCTATTTAAAAAAAAAATTTTTTTTTAAATAAAAAAATCCTACAATGGGTCCTAGGGACTCAGACAATGGCCTGGAAAAAAAAAAAACACTTAAAAGACACTCACCCACGCCCACACCCATCACACATAATAGCTAAACTGAAAATACTAAATGTGCATGAAAACCCTGTAATGTCTACCTCAGCAGTTTGATTACCTGTGGAATCTCTAGAAACAGCAACTACACTGTCCATATTAAACAGAAAAATGGCTTTGGTATGGTTTTTTTAATAACTCTAGTACAACCAATCCAAATTGTTTCATTCTCTCTTATCTAATCTACATTTACTCAGCTATTCTGTATCAGAAGAGATACATATCCCGATTGGACATTCTGGTTACACTGCAACTTTATTGGTATGTTTTACAAATGTGTCTTTAACAGGTTAAAGTCAGAAGAATTATTTGTCTCCATCTTGCCATGGATTTCCCCCCAAGTAGGACAAAAAGCAAATGACTATTACCTTTTTTCCACGTCTGTTTGGGGAAAGGCAATCTTACCTTACAAACAAACTCTTCCATTCTCTCCATAGCATGATGGGCCTGTAGGAGAGGAGACATGCCCATAAACCCTTCATCTTCCTGGGAATTGTCATCTTTACACTCGAGTTCCTCAGAGCTCTGCAAAGACATCACAGTAAGAGTCAAGGACAGGACCAATCACCACACTTTCCTTGCAGATGCAAGTCCTCAGTCAAGCATCAACAACAGTCAGCAGCAGTTAAGTTCACTGTAAACCTATCAGCAGTAAAAATGAAGCTGAGCATAGTGGTGTATGCCTTTAATCCCAGTGAAGGCAGGTAGATCGCCAAGCCAGCCAGGACTTCACAGTGAGACCCTGTCTCAAAGAAACAAAACCAAAACTAAAATAAGACAAAACAAATACAAACAAGTCAAAAACACCATTTCTCCATTCGGAGGGAGAAACACCTCTCTACACTACCACAGCATCCCTATGCTTGCTTCCAGTCTGTTCCTTGAATAGCTGCATTAGTTTCCTCTTGGTTTTAACAATGACTTTCACAGGCCAGTGAGATTTGGATGACTGAAATCTGATCCCTGGAATCCACATAATGGTAGATGGAGGGAAACAACTCCACAAGGGTGTCTGATGACCTTCAAATGTGTAACCTGGCACATATGCCAACCCCTTGCATCATACACTCACACACAAATAATTTTAAACTACCTTTGACAAAGTCCAACATTCCTTCATGATAAAGGCCAGAACCCACTATGTAAATCACTACGGAACTCACTATGTAGAATAGGCTGGCCTCAAATTCAGAGACCTGCCTGCCACTGCCTTCCAAGTACAGGGATTAAAGGTATGCACTACTATGCCTGGCTGGGGACTAGTTTTTCAAAGAGGATGAATATAGCCTCTCTGCTACTATGAGCAGCAAAGATAACGGAATGGTGAAAGAAGATTTACGTAATTGGAAGGATGAAGCAGGAGTCTTGGCCAGTGACTTCTGTGCTTTGTTTTAAAGTGGATGAGAATGCATAGAATTGCAGAGACTGAGACTGAAAGTTTAGGAAGAATGAAAAAGGTGCTGTTGTGGTTTGAGAAATAACATCTGGTAGCCAGTTGGGAGCAGTTTGGGGAGGTTTAAAGGGTACAGCTGTGCTGCAGAGGTATGTCACTAGGAATGGGCTCTGAAATTAAAACTCGCACCATTTCCATTAAATCTCTCCATACTGTGCTTAGAGTAAAGGATGTTCCTTTCACTATGCCTGCTACTTGCTTTATGCTTTTCTGTCACTCATCCCTTTGGAATTGTAAGCACAAAATACCTTCTCTAAGTTGCTTTGGTCATGAGGTTTTATCACAGCAACAGAAAATTAATTTTAGAGATGCTGAAGCTACTTGGTGAATATGATGATAGTTTTTCCCAAATTCAAATATTTGGGACCTTAGAACACAGGAACAAACCAAAGGAACAGATTCAGAAAGGAATAGACCAAGGTCTTGGCTCAATCTTCAAGAACATCCTCCGAGGCTTCTAAATCCACCTATTTTTAAAAATATTGAATTGTAGGTATATGTTTCTGTCTGTATGAATGCACACCATACACATGCCTCCTGCCAGCCAATATCAGGTGTTGAATCCCCTGGGACTGAACTTAGAGACCATTTGTAAGCTGCCATGTGGATGCTAGAAATTGAGTTCAAGTCCTCTTCAAGAATAAGTATTCTTAACCACTGAGCCAACTTTCCAGCCCCACCAAAATCCATCCTCATAAGCCATAGTCTGTGTATTTATTCTTGTCTTATTTTGCATATGATGATTGGCAGACTCCAGAAAGACTGGCAGATGGGTCAACAAATAGGGTAGCTCCCTGACAGATTCCAAGGCAGTTGACAGAGTAGCAGTTGGTAGGCAGGGAGAGGTTCCCAATACAGGAAAGGGCTTCTGCAAGAGGCTAAGGGATTCGGCTGTCACCCCAAGAGCAGCACAATCTAAACGCCAACTGGTTGGTTTAGAAGTAAGTCGTAAGTCTTTTAAGCAGAAATTAGATGTTTTCTTATATATAAAACAGTAATAGCTGTGCCTGGTTTTTAAGTTCAGTCTAAGGACTGAGTCCATCTGTTCAGTTTGTAGGAAAGTGGCTGGCACAAGTGTGCTCAGTGGAAGTGTTTCTCCTTGTCTCCACTCCTTTGGCCCTTCTTGATCACCTACCCCATTTGACAGGACCATCAGCTGGTCTGCCACTCATCTCCTGCTGCTGTGCATGAACTGCACCAGTGTCATTATCATTAGGAATGATAATGTATGATAATGTTCACACAGTACATGTATAAAATTTTCTTTTCTTTTCTGTTTCCAGAGACAGTCTCATCACACTGTGGCTCAAAGCTGACCTGGCACTACTTAGCCCAGTCTGGCTTCAAACTTAATGCATTCCTTCTTGGGGCTCCTCTTCAGTGTTGGGATTAAAGGATGGGCTACCATGCTTGACAAGATTCTTATAACTGGTTCTCTCCCTTCACTCAAGGCAGGACTGCACAAGTACTCTAGCCATTGAGCCACCTCAACAGCTCCAGCAGGAGATTCCTAAGTGAAATTCTTACATTTGATTCAGCATGAATAAACACCTATGCTATCATGCTAAGTGAGATAAGCTAGTCACTGAAGGATGAATAGTCTACGATTTCACTTACCTGTAGTCAGATTTGACTACCAAAACGCAAAATGGTGGTTCTCAGAGGCTGGAGGGTGGCAAAGGACACACAATGTTTAACAGGCACAGAGTTTCAGTTTAGGAAGATGAAAATGTTCTAGAGATGGATGGGGTTATGTACTTACTACCACAAAAATGCACTTAGAAATCATTTAACATGACCAGGCGGTGGTGGCGCACTTGGGAGGCAGCGGCAGGTGGCTCTCTATGAGTTCGAGGCCAGCCTGGTCTACAAGAGCTAGTTCCAGGACAGGCTCTAGAGCTACAGAGAAACCCTGTCTCAAAAAAAAAACAAACAAACAAAAATTATTTAACTCCTGGATTTGACATCATGCACACCTTAAACAACAACAACAACAACAACAAACCCTAATACCTTTATTTACCACAATAAACCTATAATTGAATGAATGGTTTGGTGTGTGAATACAGGTGGGGCTGGAGAGAAGATCCAGTACTTAAGACCACTAGTTGCTCTTCCAGAGGATCTGGGTTCAATTCCCAATTGACAGCTCACAACTGTCTGTAACTCCAGTTCCAGATATACATGCAGTCAAAACACCAATGCACAAAACTAAATAAATCAAAAAAAAAAAAATACAGGAAAGGTTTGCTAGCCATGATGGAGCACACCTTTAATCCCATTACTTTGTAGGTAGATCTCTGTGAGCTTGAAGCCAGCCTAACATACAAAGAGTTCCAGTCCAGCCAGGACTACAAAAAAAAGGGGGGGGGGAAGCACATAAGGAACTGGAGAGATGGCTCAATGGTTAACAACACTTGCTACTCTTCAAGGTCCAGGACTCAATTCCCTGGACCCCCATGGCAACTCACAAACATTTTTAACTCCAGTTCTAGGGAATATACTACCACCTTCTGGCCTCCTTGGGCACCAGGAACACACGTAAGACATAGACAAACATATATGCTGACTAAACACCCATATGCATAAATTAAAAATAAATCTAAAGAGAATACATTACGACAGAATAGGAAGCAATGATGCACAACTACAGTCCCTAAATTCAAGAAGATGAGAGGCAAGAAAATGGCTAAGAGTTCACGGTCAGTCTAGAATATACAGTAAGATCCTGTGTCAAAAATAAAAAGGGGAAGGGTATAGTTCATCAGCAGAATACTTCCTTAGCAAGAATGAGGTCACACACACACACACACACACACACACAAAGAGGAGAAACACAATTATCCAAAAATAAAAAAGCTTTGAAGACCGAAAAATAGTTTCCCTTTCTATAGAACTAATGTATGTGGCCCACCATCACAGGGCTCACTGAACGAAAGGGTAACTACTATACAGTCAGGGAGACAGTTTACCCATGAATTGTATATGGAAGAAGTTATGTGCACTATGTCTTCCTAACAAGAAAGAAGGGAATCTGTGGAGAATTTCATGGCGGAGGTCTACAGAGAGTCTCATATGATACCTACGCTCGTCCAAAAGGCTGAGAAACAATACACTGACTTTTTTCCACTAGCTGTTGTTGAATGAACCCAGGGCATTCTAGTGACTAGAAATAGCCAAACACAATGAGAATTTTTAATGTTACTTGTGCCTTCCATTCTTCATTTATCAAATATAATTATATCCAAACTAACAGTAATACTCTATGCTGGATAATACTATGGGGTCATGTAAACATGAAGCCACACTTCATAATTTAGCAAAAAGAGATGAGATCTACACTCATGATTTTAATTTGAAGGGGTTGTTTGGTACCAGAGATGATCTCTGCTGTAGCCTGAACCAGAGAAGCAGGAGACATACATGATAGAAAGCAATGCCTTGTCTAGGGGAGTCGACAGCCAGGAAGCAGTGCTAGGAGATCAGAAACGTAAACAGGCCTCTTGGATGGGGTCAGGTCACTCAACAAGTGCTCTCACGTTCTAATCTTGACTTCTTTTCTACAAGTGTTATGTGCGGGCATGCAGGGTGGGGGAACGAGTATGAATGAGAATTGGAGCAGGTGTATACATGCAACAGTATGCGTGTGAAGGTCAGAAGACACCTTTAGATGTAGAAAGGTCCTCACCTTCCACACTGAAACAGTACCTTTTTGATGTTTTACTATATGTAGGCCAGGTTAGCTCAACTGCACAATTCTGAAGAATCGCCTGTCTCTGACTGCCATATCCCAGGATATGTCTGGAACTACAGACAATCCCGCTACATCAGTCATTTATGTGGGTTCAGGGAACTCAAACTCAGGTACTAATGCTTGTGTGGCACGCATTTTAACCCAATGAGCCATCTCCATAGCTCCTAATCCTGACTTCTTGCCCTGCTTTCCTTTCTAGGGGGCTGTAAAGTATCTGGCCTTTTCCTGAAAAACAGGAGAACATGATATTAGCAGTGACAATTTCAATGATTCCTGTGCTATACACAGTAGTAGGGGACAAATCTACCTACTACATTGGGCGAACTCTATGGTTTAGCCTCATCTGTCTATACAGCCTAGCAATGAATGTGGTCCAGGTACACTGGATCAATCTCCGTGAAGAGTTCAAATGCCATGGAAATATCACCTATCCTTGTTTTGTGGAGTGTTTTGAACAATTGTTTAGCATTCCTATCATAGGAATGTGGTACTACTTCTACTTTATCTTCATAGCCTTGTTCTTTCTCATGGAATACTTCATGGCTCAGATTCGGCATAATTACACCAAGGTAAAGGTGAAGACCATGCAGCAACCTAAGAACTCAGAGGAAGTGGAGAAGGGTTCCATGGAGGTAATCAGGAAGCAGAGCCTCTCCCAGAAGATCGCCCTTCTGAACTTCCACAAGGAGAAGAAGCTCTTACACCTGTATCTGCTCCACTCCCTCCTGCAGGTTGCCCTCCAGACTGTGTTTCTATGCCTGCTCACATTCAAACACCTGCCCATAGTCAGACAAAGCAAAACTCACTGCAGCACCAACAGCTGCTCTACCCCAATTCACTGCCTGATCAGGAACTCCCCAGGGAAGAGAATGAGCATCTACGGCCTCATCACCTTATCTACCGTAAACATCTTCCTCGTGTCAGGCTACTTCATCTACAGCATCCATCATTACCTAATAGAAGCTCGTTCAGCTTCCAAGATTCAAATTTACTGATGTTTCTAAGAGATAGCACACTTCTTAAAGTCCTTTCTCCTCCACATAAGGAACTTTATGTTCTTCTAAATTTTGTTGTTTCAGGAAGAGCCTCTTCCTTCTGACCTTTTTTGGGTCTGATTTTAAGAAATAAACATTTGCCAACCATGGTGACACATACCTTTAATGACAACACTGGGGAGACAGAGAAAGGTGGAGTTCAAGGCCAGTCTACATGAGTAGTCTACATGAGTGGTCTACATGATGAGGTCCAGGCTACTTAGGGCTATTTAGTGAGATATTTATTTATTTATTTATTTATTATGTATACAATATTCTTTCTGCATGTATGCCTGCAGGCCAGAAGAGGGCACCAGATCTCATTACAGATGGTTGTGAGCCACCATGTGGTTGCCGGGAATTGAACTCAGGACCTTTGGAAGAGCAGGCAATGCTCTTAACCACTGAGCCATCTCTCCAGCCCTATTTAGTGAGATCTTAAAAATAAAATGCAAATAGAATATGACTTAAAAAAATTCACCATTCGTTATTATCTCTAGTGTTAGGAAGGGGTCGTTTGACCCTGAGGGGCAAGAACATATCCTCACAATGACCATCAGGCTTGGTGCACACCAGCTCGTTTCCCCGATGTGGTCACCTGTAAGGTGGCTTCAGCTACTTTTCCTGACGCACTGGAGGGTAAGTAGTTGTGAAGGCGCCTGCAGGTAGGAGGAAGCCACTTTAAACCTGGGTCTGTCACCTCTCAGACCTTCACTCCACAGAAGCCTTCAGATGCCAGCTGCTCAGTGGGATCAACTTTCCCTGTGGCAAAGCTCAATTGTAGCTGAAAACAAAACTGAGTTTTGCTTTTTGAGCAGATCTCATGGAAGACGAGAATAAGGCAAACAAACAGGGCACTGAGCCAAGTTATGTGTGGTCACACCCTCCTCAGGCCAAGGTTATGCCGTCGTCCTCTCCAGTCTGAGGTGAAGAATCTGGATGCCAGCTCCTACTTAGGTATCCATAACCCAAGTATGACTCTCTGGGAAACGTATCCAGGTGAGGAGTGGACAGAGCAGGGGGACAAGACTTCTACTCATTTGTAAACAACAAAACAGACCTCAAGTTCCACTAACAGACAAAGGCTGGCTCCACAGGGTGACCACCTTCATTACCCAAAATAGACAGGGCTGGAGTGGAGACCAGGTGTCAGGAGAGACCACAATGTGGAGAGCAAGGGCAGGAGTAGGAACAAGGAGGTGGCCCTGGGAGCCACTGGGGTATGAGGTGATGCAGAAAGCCGGAGCGTACTACCCTGCCAGCTCCTCCCACAGGCTTGAGGAAGCACCGGTGTGTTACAGTCTTCATAACAATCTTTCATAACTAGCATGCTGTCCTATGGCTGCTTTCCCACAATGATATATCACTGTCAGTGTGAGCCGCTGGTGGACAGAGGTGGCTTTGATAATTTCAGAAAGCAAACACTAGAGGGAGAGTGCAGTAAACGGCAGGAAAAAAGGCTGAACAACGCCTCAGGAGTCATAAGCTGCTCAGCCCCTACAATCATCTAAGGGCAATCTTCTCAAGGGAAGGGCCATCCTTCTCCTTGCCAGCTAGACTAAAACTGAGGAAACGTGTGAACAAAATCTATGTAGAACTATCTGAGACTAGTGGCCAAGCAGCATAACCTAAGACTGACTAAACTGGCATCCCAAATTACTGTCTATTTTTACTAAGAAACAAAGTGTGTGAAGGAGCCCCTCCTGGCTCACGGAAGAAGTGCTGTAGACAACAGAAGGATATCTAAGTGGTACAGCACTTACCTAGCATGTACAAAGCCCTGGGACCGACCCACAAACCTTAAAACAAAACCAAATCAGTCGGTCAAATACAAAGTAGGAAATTACTTTTTCTATTTAGAATGTATTAAGTATATTGTAAAAACTCAACTTTAATCAAGGCCCCCATATTGATTCTGTTTCTAACAGTATTGTTTGTTATTGTTTGTTTGATTTTGCTTTTAAAAAAAGTTTTTCATTTATTCTTTTGTGTGTGCATGTACATACTACATGAGACCCAGCCTCACAAACCAAAATTAGATTTAATTTGAAAACTATTTAGATATAATACATATCATATAACAAATACATAAAACTAGTTTATAAAGAAAATGTACATTTTTAAGACCTTTTGAGATAGGGTCTCATTATGTATTCCTGGCTGGCCTGGAACACACTCTGTAGACCAGGCTGGTCTAGAACTCAGGAGAATTTCCTGCCTCTACTTCCCAGTGCTAGGATTAAAGGCATGCACACATACACCTTAACTATGTTTTTAATTTAGTTTAAATGTGTACTGATATATATATATGCATATATATGCATCTCAATAATGTTTCTCTATGTTACTGTTTAATATTTTCTATTTTGTGCTTTGGGTGGGGTCTCACTATATAGCCCTGGATGACATGGGACCTCACTATGTAAACCAGCCTGTAATGTTTCATAATAGCAAGATTAAGGAAGCACAAGTCTGCAGTCTGAGATACAATCTCCCAGCACCACATCACTGAATAGACATAAAGTTCTACTGTAGACATCAACACACCCGTAACACTGTCTGATGCTGTTCACAAACATGATTGCTGCCATGATGAACTGTGTAAGTCTTCCCATTTTCTCTGAGAAGTTATATAAGACACTAAAATCTACTTTCTGTCCTTAGGATTCTACTGACCCCAAGATATGCACTGCAGAAAAACAATTTGAGAAGTCCTATAGAATTTCTTCAAAATATCACTGACAATGTTATAACTAAAACATGGCTGGTTCTGGGGCTGGAGGGCTGGCTCAGCAGTTAAGAGTACTTGCTGTTCTTTCAAAGGATCTGAATTCAGATCCCAGTACCCACATGGAGTCTTACAGCATTCTGGTAGCTCCAGACTTGGGGTCCAACACCTTCTGGCCCCAGGAGCTACCAGGCACACAATGCACTCATATACATACAGGTAAAACACTCATAAAGCACAAATATAAATAAATTAACCTTTAAAAACAAACATTTATTCTCTTTTAAGACAAAACAGAGTGACTATGATTTTTAAGTGCCAGCAGAAAGGTGTAAATATGAAATCAAGCAGTATCTGAACTTAATAAGAAACTAAGTTTTGCCAGGCATGGTGATACATGTCTTTAATCCCCGCACTAGGAAGCAGAGGCAAGAAGATATCTGTAAGCTTAAGACCAGTCTGGTCTACCAAGTGAGTTCCAGGACAGCCAGCACTACACAGAGAAACCCTGTCTTGAAAAACCAAAACAGACCAACAAACAAAAAAGCAATGTTGTTCTTGCAGAGAATCTGGGTTCAAGTCTCAGCACCCACATGGTGACTCACAACCATATATGCATCTCCAGTTCTAGGGAATCTGGCACCTTCTTCTGGCCTTTACAGGCAACAAGACACACACATGGTACTGACATATGCAGGCAAAACACCATACATAAAATTTTAAAACATATTTTTACTAAGTCAACATCTCTACCTTTCTACTAGAGAAATACATTAAATATTACACGTATGTATTCTTTTTAAATATCACCCCTCATCTCCATATGTTTACCTTGTTTGCAACCCTTCGAACTTTTAACTTACATTTTTATGATAAGAAGAACAAACAGATGTCTCTAAAATGGGCTCCAAATCTTCTTGGTGGCTGTCATTATTACCTCCCCTTGTATCATCAAGTTGGTGCCCTTTTCTGAGCCTTATATCTGGCTCTGGAGTCCTGGTGCACCCCAATCGGTGTTCTGCTGGCTCGTTCATGGGATACCAAAGCCTTTCTTACAAAGTGATCTTTCTTTCTGTCCCCTCTTCTTGGGAGAATGGATTTTTAAGGGATAGTGAGTCGACCCTAAGGAAAGAAAAGTTACAGACATGAGCACTGGGAAAACACAGGAGCTACATTGTTATATACCATCAAGGAACAGAAAATTCAATCACAAAAAAGAGCAATATTCTTAAAAATTTATACCTACTGCTAATAAAGATTACCAAAATCTATCAATCAACCAAAAAGTCGTGTAATATTTCCACTTAATTGTAAAATATGTGGTTGTATGAATTCATGTACATACAATAATTACTAGAAAGCATTCAAAACCATGATCCTGGCATAGAAACACATAAAAAAGAAATAAGGGTTTAGTAAAAAGACTTACATTTTACTATGCTCTGCCTAGGTCTTTTTTCAACCCTATCATTTTTTTCAGCTAAATGCATGTCTAACTGAAGCTGGGCATGGTAATGTATACCTTTAATCCCAGCACTCAGAAGACAGAGTCAAGGGAATCTCTGAGCTTAAGGCCAAGTCTACAAAGCAAGCTCTGGGCTAGGCTACGTAGAAAGGGCATGTCTCAAAAACAAAAAACCCTAAATGTAAAAAGAATACATGAGGGCTGGAGAGATGGTTCAGTGGTTAAGAGCATTGCCTGCTCTTCCAAAGGTCCTGAGTTCAATTCCCAGCAACCCACATGGTGGCTCACAACCATCTGTAATGAAGTCTGGTGCCCTCTTCTGGCCTTCAGGCATACACACAGGCAGAACATTGTATACATAATAAATAAATAAATAAATAAATACTTTTTAAAAGGGAATATATGAAAGCTTACAAATTATGCCATGTTTTATATAGCCAATTTCATTTAAATAATACCATGGTTTTATTTTATTAAATTTGTTTGATTTTATCAAATTTCATTAAATAATGACCAGGGCTAATTTTATTTTACAAGTAGAAAACCAAAACTCTCCACACGTTTTTTTATAAAATAGGACAAAAATCTTTGAATTTATACAAGTGTATACCAGCAAAATTTTTATATTCAACATGTTTAATGTCTGACATTTTTAGTTGCTCTGGTCTCTAACTTGACTATCATGAAAAGCAAAAATCTTGGGACCAGAGCATATCCCTTTTATACCTGCAATCCCAGGAATGGTCTTGAGTGGTAAAAACTTTCATAAATCATCTTTTTCCTAACTAGTCTGTGATAATTTTATTCCCCAGAAGTTCTAGCCTTTCAAGTTCTTCTCATCTAACTCTTCATTCATAGCACACAAATGTACTTTAATCAGCTGAATAGCAAAATAGATTACTAT